ATGACTTATTCTTTGCTTGGTTTGTGAATTTAAATTGCAGTCCAGATATTGGAAGATCCAGATATACTCAGCTGATGACTCTTTTACAAATGTAGGCTATTTCATGGAACCTAATTTACTTACTTTTCGTACTGCTCACCCAAGTTTTGCAACTCGGTTCTTACAAACACATTGTTAAGTATTTGGAAATTAATATTGTCTGTAATTCTAGATTTTTGAATCTCATTTCACGTGTCTTGTAGTTGTATTGTACTTTAACTGGAGGATTAAAATGTTGAAATTCATCTTTTTATACGCCCAATTCTCGACGGATTTTGATGAAACTTGGTGTTTGTTATCACCCAAGGATGAACCCTATTTAAAATCAGTAAGATCAAAAAATAATTACTATGTGTTATTGCCCTTGTTCTTGAAAATGCTTTCAATTTGTAGCACGTGGACACTCTAGAAGGCACAATTCTTGATGGGATTTTGACGAAACTTGGTGTGAGTGTATGAAATCACCCATGGATGAACCCCATCGAAAATCAGAAAAATCGAAAAATATTATTGGCCTTGTTGTAAAAACGCGTTCAAATTTTGGCCTGTAAAACCTCTAGAAGGCCCGATTCTTGACAGATTTTGATGAAATATTGTTCAGTATCGCCTCAAAACGCTATCCTTAGTTAAAAACTTCCATAGAAACCTTTGCAAATTGCATTAGAGGTCTTCGATTCTGGATTACATAACCGGTCAGTCAGAGAGAATCATTCGCTATCTAGTATTAGTGGCACTTATTGCGAAAGGTATTTTTGCTCGAAGCTGCGGTTAACCAGCTGGTGTTGTCAAGCCAGCCACGGCCGCCAAAGTCGTTGGCTTAGCTGTAACCAGCCAGATACAACCCAGCCGAAAATTGGCAAGCTGGCTGTCTCACGGGTCTAAATGTATTATTACACTTCTGGTTTTAATGGATCTGCTTATTCAAATTACAAGCATATTCCAATCTGAATTGTCTACGGTACGGTGGTACTTATCTGTCACCTACCATTATTTATTTATTTTTCAGAAATGGGTACTAATTTGATACGCCCGTAAACTATGTATAATTGTGGCTATTGGTTGTTTCTGTTCTGTTTGGTTATGTCGATATACTATGGTAGGTATAAAAGCATTTTTCAAATATTAATTATATTTAAGGTTATGCACAATAGTATTAGTAATAGTATATAAGTATTATTTTTTAAACAAAAACAAATATCGGAGGCATCAACAAGAAGTTTTGTGTCTCCACAAATCCGGTCTCATTAGAAAATGACATTTACTACGTTTGTAGATAGGCCTATCTGTTATTTTATTATTGACGTAAGCCATTATTTATCGGATTTCGAGACGTCAAAATCTTTGATAGGAAAAATTAACACGGTTGTACCTGGTTAAAAGGGTGTCTTCCCACATCGCCCCTTCCCATTTAGTCCCTAAATATTCCCATTTCGCCCCTTCTCCAATTTGACCCGTTCCCAGTTTGCCCTTTTCCCAGTTCGCCCTTCCTTTTAGTAAAAAAATTAAAACACATAAAAAAAAATTATGCTCGTTCCGTTTTGAATTATGTTCCTGTGTGCATTTTGGTATCGTGGCACTTGGAATTTGATAAAGAGTAGGCTGGAATGATGCTGCGTAGAATTTCCAAAATAAAATTAGTTGAAATGATATGGAAATGTTTTATGACTGCGTATGTCCTTTTCAAATTTTTCTGATATCTATTAAATTGGTAAAGTCAATTATTCTTATACATTTGTAAATGCAATGAAATATGGGAAAGGGGCAAAATAAAGTTTCGAATCTAGAAAGGACATAATGAGAAGTGGCGTGATCGGAAGGGGGTGAAATGAGAATAAACCGATTTAAAGATGGGGTTCTGCGTCATTTTTATCAGCCACACGAAATGTGGAGCGTATATTGTCACCCGTCCGTCAGTCCGTCAACAATTGTTCGTATACACTCTAGAAGGCACATTTCTTGACTGATTTTGACGAAACTTAGTATGATTGTTTGTAATCACCCATGGATGAACCCTATTGAAAATCAGAAAAATCGAAAAATATTTAGTATGAGTTATTGCCTTTGTTTATGAATTGCTCGTAAACACTCTATAAGGTGCAATTCGTGACAGATTTTGCTGAAACTTGGTGTGAGTGTTTGCTATCACCCAAGGATGAACCCTATCGATAATCAGAAAATCGAAATATTTAGTATGAGTTATTTCCCTTGTTCTTGAAAAAGCGTTCAATTTTTAGCCTATCAACACTCTAGAAGGCACAATTCTTGATGGATTTCGACGTAACTTGGTGTCAGTGTTTGTTATAAACCACGGATGAAGCCTATCAAAATCAGAAGAATCGAAAAATATTTAGTATGAGTTATTGTACTATTGTTGACCTTGTTCTTTAAGGCGCGTTCAATTTTTGGTCCATAAACACTCCAAATTTCACAATTCTTGATGGATTTTGACGAAACTTGATGTGAGTGTTTGTTATCAACCAAGGATGAATCCTATCGAATTTAGTTTGAGTTATTGCCCTTGTTCTTAAAAACGCGTTCTAGTTTTAGCCTGTAAACACTCTAGAAGGCTCAATTCTTGACTTTGACGAAACTTGGTAATATTATACAGTATCGACCTAAACAGTTCAAAAGAAGTGTATTTCTGAAGGTTGAATATTTCATACTGTTAATTATAACTGTACAGCAAAATATTTTTGTTTAAAATCAAAGCTGTCAGTGGGCGAATATTACCTTGCCTGGCAAGCTATCTTCTGTGTTGCCTGTGCTGATAATCCGATATCTGGCATCGTCTCCAATATTATGGTTTTTTTATAAGTTCTACCAGTGGCCATTATCCATTGTCCATTAAAAAACGTTTGTGAAACAAAACATAGAATCTGCATTTTAATTAGTTTGTATTCTATGTATTTTTTACCCTTTTAAAATAAATATTTTATTATTATTGTTATATCCAGAAAATAGTTTATAACGCTATAGCAGGTGGAAAAGTACAAAATGAAATCGACAGACAATCGCCTTCAATCACTCTAATTTTGTAACTGTATTAAGCTATATATTTTTTCTATTTCTAACATTATTCGCCTACACAAAAAAAATTCATATTGATATTGAAGCCATCGGGATTAGACATGTTGAAATTATAAGTAAAATGTCAAAACGGATCTTTATTGAATCAGAAAAATTTGATCATTAATTTAGTCTTCTGTTTAATTGAAAGTTTACTCACCATTAGCATCGTAGTTCCATTTCACATGTGACTATTTCTAAGTCTATGAAAGTGATTTGAGTTGTAGGAAGTACAGTTTTTTTCGTTTTTAATTGGCACTCCAATATCAGTACAGAATTTGATTAAATTTTCAAGATAACGTTTGCAACATTCGGTATTAGCTGGACCAATGAATAAAAAATCATCAAGCTTAAAAGCATTTTAAATATCTGTTTTTGCCATCAAGCAGCCTTTACCTAATTGTTAGTTCAGCATTACTTAGTTCAAAATTTATTTGGTATCACCTGCCACCTTTTTTGTTTGTGTAGCAGGTTTTTTAGTTTTGCCATCATCTTTTGCCAATTGTGGACATTTGCAATTACTATGCTAACCTTGACAGTTTTGGTACACAAAGTGGCGGAAAGTGCAGGAGTCGGACCATTTACAAAACCCAGTTCTGTTGAACTGCCTAGCAGAATCCACCCAATTTACCTGTTTTAATAACAGATGAACTTTTAGACATATTATATTTTAATGAAGTTAGTGATTTTGAATTCATTCCTTGATTTACTGCCAATAAATTTATAATATCCCATAGAGCAAATGTGGATTGGCGCAGTCCCCTAAGGGCTAAATCATACCACAGGGCAGCTGCTTCTCCAGCTTGTTCTCTCAGTTCCAAAATGATTGAACCGTACTTCATTAATTTGAAAGTTTCATTTGAATATTTTTCCGTGTAAATACTCACATATACAAAAATGCTTTAACCCAGTTGCCAAGCTCCTCGACGTTTTTATTTGTTGCCTTGTCGTCTCAATGGAATGACACCTCTTCCCCTGATTGCTTTAAAATGCACTTTTCCAATCAAATGATTAAAATCAATGAATTCATTCGCCCATATTCTGGATCGTAATTTAGAAGCAATTCCTATCCCACGAGGTTTAGAAATATGCTTAGGATAATAGTCACATATACCTGTGAAAGTATTATGATGTTGATTCATGTTAATAGAATGATCCAGTGCGTTAGGTGAAACAATCCATTGACATATCTGACCCAGTCTGTACAACACGTTGATCATTTGGAGGCACGTGCAAAGAAACTGCTTCTGCCACTCGTTCTGTTATTGTAGGAATAGCAGCATTGATCATACTTTAAACATTTTGAGTTATTAAATCATGAATGTCTGTGTCAACATCAATGTCATCTAAATCACTTGTCCATTATCATTAGAATCATAAGTGTAGGTATTTGGGAAGGTTGGCAAACCTCTTCCTGAACTATAGAATCTGTAGTTGGACCTCGAACTTTATGCCTCGATGAACTTGTTGCTGTTTGGTTTTTAACTTTATAAGAAGGAGTACGTAACCGTTTCAACTTGTTGTCAACCATTGAAGCTATTTCTGAACAACTTCGTTTGGACATCTTCGTTAGTAGTATACTGAAACATAAAATGTCTAACCAAGTATTTAATTCTCAGTAGACTATTCGAATCAAAGTTTACATATTTCTATCTAAACAAGCTCCTGAATGACACAACTATTCAGAATCAAATTTTCAGCATAAACAATGACAGCCTAACAGCCAAAGTTGCTGAAGATTTTCCTATATACATCTTATTCAAGAATATGTTGTGCTGTTCAGTGTACTCATCGATAGACCATATATCTCAAAATTCAATTTCGACTACCAACATATCAAAACATAACGTAATTGATGGAGTAATTTGATAACTATTGCTTACATATCAGGAGGAAAATACCATACCACCATATCAGGAGGCAAATACCATGCCGACATATCAGAAGGCAAATACCATACCACCATATCAGGAGGCAAATACCATACCACCATATCAGGAGGAAAATACCATACCACCATATCAGGAGGCAAATACCATACCACCATATCAGGAGGCAAATACCATACCACCATATCAGGAGGAAATACCATACCACCATATCAGGAGGAAATACCATACCACCATATCAGGAGGAAAATACCATACCACCATATCAGGAGGAAAATACCATACCACCATATCAGGAGGCAAATACCATACCACCATATCAGGAGGCAAATACCATGCCGACATATCAGAAGGCAAATACCATGCCGACATATCAGAAGGCACATACCATGCCGACATAACAGAAGGCAAAAAACATGCCGACATTCAGAAGGCGCATACCATGCCGACATATCAGAAGGCACATACCATGCCGACATATTAGAAGGCAAATACCATGCCGACATATTAGAAGGCAAATACCATGCCGACATATTAGAAGGCAAATACCATGCCGACATATCAGAAGGCACATACCATGCCGACATATTAGAAGGCAAATACCATGCCGACATATCAGAAGGCACATACCATGACGACATATTAGAAGGCAACTTATGTGATAATACATATCAGAAGGTATAATGTATATAAGATAACAAACAACAATGGAAGTTATGAACAGATAATCATGTTAAATTGGTTTCCTTATTTTTTTGTGCATTCTAAGAGTAGCTCCCCTAAGACTTCAAAAATACAATTTATTACCTATTGCACTACAGTGAACGCCGTCGCTAAGATACAAGTCTTTCGATGGTTGAAAAGGATGTACTCCTCTCAATTTGCAAAAAGACCATGGAGGTCGTCTAGCTATTTCGGATTTTAAAAGATGGTTGGCCATATCAACAAATTCATTGTATTTTTAATTTGAATATTTCGAGTTTTCAACCTTGGTATAATTTGACAAATAGTCACAAAGGTTAAATTGTAATGGTTAATCGATAAGCTGAGCAATGACTCTAGCCTATTTACCATTTCTTCAACCCAATTAAAATTGACTTCAAGGTGATCCAAATCATATGCTAATTTCTCAATAACTAGGCCTTCTGGATTAATCTCAACTATTATATCTGCCCATGTTTGGCAGTGTCTCCTACAGGAAATTTGACCTCCACCGATCCCTTTGTAATATACCTGAATCGGATCGAGATTTGGGTCAAAATCAAAGTTAATTACTTCATTACTAGCAAACCATGTTTGTAATATCTTAATATACGAACTACCAAGTATAACATACTTGTAATGTTCATTTTTTGCACGCGCCATCACAGACTTGACTCAATTCAGTATGACTACAAAACGAGGCCCATCTATGTTACAGAACTGTTGATGAAGGAAGACCGAAATCGTTATTAAATCATTATTACAGACCCAGTCAATCCACACAACAAGGCCCTAATATCAGTAGCTTATAATTATAATTCAAGCAACAAAATGATCATCATACAGTGAAAAACCTTGATGGCGCAAAAGCTAAAGACCACAAAAACCTTTTTTACTTCGAAAAATATTTATATACTCTATTATCATTGCCAATTACGTTTCACCTTTCTATTTTTGGAGGGGAGATAAAAGCATAGTTTCCAGTGAGGAAACGACGGAATGTTACGTAATAATCATACAATGTAGCCTATAACATTTTTTTTTATAATTTAGTTCAAACAACTCTTAAGATCTCAATGTGACAATTTTGTTCACTGTGCAATAATTGCATATTATGTCTTAAGTCGGCTTAATTTCCAGAACACTTTCACTTTTTGTTCATAAAAGGTGACAAGCCCCTAACCTTCCCCTTCACTTTATAAACAGATGGGTAGTATAATAATCATTCCTTTGATTAACGTTACAATCACGTGTCTTAAATGTATCTAATGGGATAATTTGACAATAAAAAACAATTCCGCCAAAAGATGGAAAACACAACCCTTTCATTTTCAAATGTTTCGAACATACCCGAACATTTTGACAAATTGACGATCTTTATGATATAAAAAATAAATAAAATTTTATATTAATATATAAAAAAGCGAACAAAAAGATCTTTTATGTCTCTGAATGTCATTGTGACATTAATGTCTATTGAAAAATAACATGCCATTTGTATATTGGCCGATTTTTAACGCGACATTACATTTTCCTTTGAATAATCTTAGATTACTCCACATGACATGACATCTAGAATATTGAAATCTATATACCAAAACAACAATAATATTCCTTTTATTTAGGCCAAAACGTAGTAGTCAGTCAGTTTTTTTAATCCCAGAAATTCGCAATGCAGACTTCTACAGTCATTTGATATAATTTATTTCAATTAACAAATTTCTTTTTTACAAAAGAGAAGCTTAAATGCAATTCAATGTAAACATCGTATAATTTCATTTTCTTCGTTGCGTGAAAGGGGCTCTTATCCGAGCTTAAATCCCATATCATCATATTCATATGCTGCTAACAATTGTGAAGAGAAAAGAGCATTCGAGCAACTGAGATTTGCGGTGATCGGTCGTCTAAATCAGATCGATCAGGTCAGATGATCAGATGTAATATTATACAGTATCGACCTAAAAGTTCAAAAGAAGTGTATTTCTGAAGGTTGAATATTTCATACTGTTAATTATAACTGTACAGCAAAATATTTTTGTTTAAAATCAAAGCTGTCAGTGGGCGAATATTACCTTGCCTGGCAAGCTATCTTCTGTGTTGCCTGTGCTGATAATCCGATATCTGGCATCGTCTCCAATATTATGGTTTTTTACCAGTGGCCATTATCCATTGTCCATTAAAAAACGTTTGTGAAACAAAACATAGAATCTGCATTTTAATTAGTTTGTATTCTATGTATTTTTTACCCTTTTAAAATAAATATTTTATTATTATTGTTATATCCAGAAAATAGTTTATAACGCTATAGCAGGTGGAAAAGTACAAAATGAAATCGACAGACAATCGCCTTCAATCACTCTAATTTTGTAACTGTATTAAGCTATATATTTTTTCTATTTCTAACATTATTCGCCTACACAAAAAAAATTCATATTGATATTGAAGCCATCGGGATTAGACATGTTGAAATTATAAGTAAAATGTCAAAACGGATCTTTATTGAATCAGAAAAATTTGATCATTAATTTAGTCTTCTGTTTAATTGAAAGTTTACTCACCATTAGCATCGTAGTTCCATTTCACATGTGACTATTTCTAAGTCTATGAAAGTGATTTGAGTTGTAGGAAGTACAGTTTTTTTCGTTTTTAATTGGCACTCCAATATCAGTACAGAATTTGATTAAATTTTCAAGATAACGTTTGC